TCGAGTACCTCATAACTGGGAGCAGTAAGAAATTTCCTGTAAATCAAATGTAGCCATCCTGACCCCTGACTCAGCCTCATCTAGTGTACAACAAAACCCATAATATCACCAATAAACACGCCATACGGAGGCTAACCCGGCAGCATAATCCACACAATCCAACATACATCAAACCCAACAAACCCAAGCAATGAAAACAACCCTGGACGAAATATTATATTTTGAGTATTATTATTATTATTATTATTATTATTATGCAATTACAATCAGAGACATACATACTAATGATAAATTAAAGACCGTTAACAACAATAAGTAAACTAAACAACAAAGCAAATACTGACAATATATTTGGAAATAGTCTTCCATCAAACTTAAATCTTTCAGATACATAGTAGTAGAAATAGCTGTTTTATTGATAAGAGATTTAAGAGACTCAATAATTGAATTCAATTCAACTACAAAACCCCCCAAAAAAACATACACCGGTTTAGGCTACATTTACCATATTTTGCTTTGTGTAAATGACATTGCCCAAAGAGCATTACTAGACTCAGAATAAAGCTGAAAAATGTTATAACCCCTCTTCATCCAGATTTAGATGATTTAGATCAGGGGTGTCCAATCTAATCCACAAAGGGCCGGTGTGGCTGCGGGTTTCCATTCCAACAAAGCAGGAGATCACCCGATCAGCAGTTTGAAGACTGAAACCAACCGATTAAACAAGTAGAATCAGGTGTGCTCCAGCTTTTTTAAGGGAAAAGCTGCAGCCACACCGGCCCGTTGTGGATAAGATTGGACACCTATGAAAACTTCTTACTATTGGGTGGTGCTGCTGTGGACACTCTGGAGGCATGGCTATGCAGATGGCCACACTCGAAGGCTCATGGTAGGAGTGCCCCCTCCTAAAAAGGGACACGTGGATCTTTGAGTAAACATTTTATGATGTACAGTTTTGTGCTGTCACTGAATTCACACAATCTTAATAAAGACATAAATCTTTGAGAAAAGTGGTATTTCGAAGAAAAACATCTTTGAATTACTGGCACCACTGTAAAAAATGGCTTGTCAGTTCAACCTAAAAAAATGCTTCATGTAGTAACAAGCAATAGAACTACTTTTATTCAACTTAAAAAGTTACTTTGATTGAAAGAGTCGTTCATTCACTTATTTAAGTTGATTAAATTATTTAAATAAATTACATAATATTTTTTAGGTTGAACTGACGAGCCATTGTTTTACAGTATATTTTGTACTGGGCAATTAGACAAAAAAAAACAGGACGTGGTAATGAACTAGTTTTTAACCTAAAAAATACTTTGAGTGAATGATTCTTTCAATCAAAGGAATTTTTGAGTTGGATAAAACTACTTCAATTACTTGTTACTACAAGTCAGTGCATCACATTCTAGAGCTGCCCTGGCCAATAGTAAGTGCTGTTTTTGTAAACTGGAAACATCTAGGAGTAACAGCTCAGCCATGAAGCTGTTCAGTGCTGAAGCACGTAGCGTGTAAAAATTACCGGTCTTCTGTTGCAACACTCACTGTCGAGTTCCAACCTGCCTCTGGAAGCAAGGACAGCACAAAAACTGTTTGCCCAAAGTTTAATGAATTGAATGCCTTGGCAATACCTTGTGTCAGCTAGAGTGGTGCAAAGCATGGAACCAGTGGACTGCCATTTTTGAATAAGAGGAAACAGAGGGAAGTACAGTTTTGCACTAATGCTTTATCAATCTATTCATAATTTGGACACATGCATCTACGAGAAAAGTGGCCTATTGATTGAAAAAATAGGCCTTTGGACTACTGACACCACAGTTTTGAAGAGGATGGCACCACATTTTGAACAGGATTTCTGACAATTTGGTTATAATACTAATATGGCTGGAAAATACAGTTATGTACTGTCACTTTATTTATATAATCTTAAAAAATCTTTGCAGAAAAGAAAGTCTTTTATACACTAGCACTGGTAATGTTGTTGGGAAATACAGTTTTACCCTGGCACTTTATTAATGCGTTCTTCCTCAGGACACCAAATGTTTATGAAAAATCAGATTTTGAAGGAAAATATTGGTTTTTGGACCATTGTCACCACAATTTGCACCAGGCAAACTGACAAAAAAAAGGATTTCTGCTGTTTTGCTTGTAATGTCTCAGCTCAAATGAATGTTCCTGGGGGACAGAGGGCTACACCGGCAATTTTAATCAGATCACTTGAATTTATGAGAAAAGTGGCATTTAAAAAATAATAATATAAGTCTTTGGACCACTGGTACCATGTGTTATCAAGTCAAGTCAAGATTTTTCATTGCTGCTCAAAACACGGAACAAAATATAGTTTTTCCACAGCCATGGTGCTACATTTAACACGAGACACCAGCAGACAAGCTGATAAGGTGTCCATGCACTCTATAAATGCAGACAATAAACTACACATGTCCATGTCTGTGTTTAATAGAGATACTTTTTGACATTCACTCAAGTAAAGTCCACTTTTAGAGGATTTTTCAAAAACGTCTGCATAATTAAATGTTAAAATGTAAAAAAAAACGTAATTGAGAGTGGTTTGATGTGAAATATGCCAAACTTACAGTCAAGTTTTTCACAGTGGTGGGGATGGGAACTAGACACCTGAAGTGTTTAATGCCTCTAAGAGAAACTTCCCAAAAACTGTTATATGAAATTATTATTAACTCACTGTCTGATGCCTGAGACATTTTAATGGTAGTTTTGAGATTTGAGAGCTTGGCCTAAAATATTTTATTTTTAATCTATTAATACTGGAGTGGCACATGCAGGGCATTGTAATGCAAAATAGTCACCAAAGAAAACTTTTTTCAGATGTACGACTATTTTACCATTGTCAACATTACATATTACTGTCGGAAGAAAACCTTGTATCTGCATTTTGGACGTTTTCCAGTTTTTGACATAATTTGAAACTACCTATAACCCTCTACATTATATGTAAATTTCATGATAAATGGACAAAAAGAAAATACCCCAAATTACTTGGAAAAAAGTCTAGTTCCACTGACTAACAAAAGGTAAAGCAGGTTTTTTCCTTCTCTAGGAATAATAACTCAGAGGACACATTTAGATTCACTGGTCATTCTGGATAGTAAATAAATAAACCAATACCCATACTTTCACTTAAGTAGTTCCTCTTTTTCCACCTTGGTTTTTGTTGTAAAAGCGTTTCTGGCACTGACACTGATCACAAGAGGCAACTGCTTTGTGAGTTGAGGACATTCTTTAAGCAAATGGCACCACCTACTGGTGATAAAACAACTATAGCACCACCACACCTGATTCAACTTCAGAGAATCGCACTTATCATTAATCCACTGCAAATTTACTTGTGGTTTTGAAGCCAGGCAACCAACCTCCAGTTTCCCACACTGGATGACTGATTGCCATGAGATAATATGGGAGCTGTAAAAGGCAGCCGGTTTCTAGGACGCTGATTGAGTCGAGTCACTAGAAATGGAACTCTGAATGAGAAATTACAATTAATGGTGCAATTTAGTTCTATGTTTACATCCAGGAAACAGCCCTGTACTGGGACGTGGTGCATTCATGCAGAAGAACATAACTATTCCTAACTGTCATTGGAAGAATAGCAGTACAGATCCGAGTTGTTTAAGAGTCGGTTAAAGATCAGCTCAGTGCACACTCAAAAAGATGATTCATCAAGTGTTCCTTAGTGAAGGCAAAAGTTCTGTTAGGAACCATGAATCCTATATAGAACCATTTCATGCTTAAATGATTCTTTGCATGGTGAAATGTCAGGTTGATGGAGAATGTGTTGTGTATAGTTTTATATAGAACCTTATTGAAAATGTTTCTATTAGCACCAGAAACTGTTCGTCTATTGTTACAACAACATTAAAAAATGCCATTTTATGCCTAAATGATTCTTTGCCTGGTGATATGGTTCTTCAGATTGATAAACAATGCATTGTATATGGTGGTTCTACACTCTTTAAAAAGATGGCTCTTCAAGGCTTCTTTAGTAAAGAAAATGGTTCTATATAGAACCATGAATACTCAAAAACTCTGCATGGTTAAAGGGTTCTTTGCATTGTGAAAACATTCTTCGGATTGCAGAGTGCTGTTGGTGGTACTACATAGAACCTTTCTGAAAATGGTTCTATATAGCACCAAAAAGGGTTCTGTTATTGTTATAATGCTAAACTTGTAACAGTAGAAGAACCCTTTTTTGTGCTATATAGAATAATTTTAAAAAGGTTCTACATAGAATCATCTATAGCACATTCTCCCCTTCATCTAAGGAACGCTTTCATGCTGCAAAGAACCCGTTCAATCATGCAAAGGGTTCTTTGAGTATTCTTTGTTAATAAAGAACCCTTGAAGAACCATCCTTAAGTGTGTATGTAGCACCAAAAGCTTGTAACATTTCATTTTAAAAAAGGTTCTATATAGAACTATATACAACACATTCTCCATCAGTCTGAAGAATGCTATCACCATGCAAAGAAGCACTTGGGCATAAAATGGTTCTATGCGGAACTCTTGGTTCTAAATAGAATCTTCACCTTAACTAAAGAACCCTTAAAGAACCATATTTTACTAAACGCCTGCATAATTGAATGGTAAATCTGTAAACAAAGTCACTGAAAGTGGTCTTTTTGAAGTGTGTAAGGCAATAAAGGGTCCAATAAAGTGTCCATCTCAAGCTGAAGGAGCGAATAGAGAGAATGAAAAGGGCTCATTTTTTAGAGTTACTAAGCACTCTTTCTCCAGAATAACCTCAGAACAGATCAGTTCCCTTACTGTTAAAAAGACGACTTCAGTGAAGCTGAACTAGTCTGACTGTACTGCAGCTGAAAAATACATGAAAAGAAAGCTGATGATGCTGAAACGGTGATCATAGTCGGCTAATCTCCTCTTTTTCCATGTTAGGCTACAGTAGGCTTGTCCGTCAGTAACCTACAGCTCGCACCTCTGTAGTTCGCACACGTCACAGCTGCCCCTGTACAACAGCCCTGACAAGTATCCTGCGCTTATCTACCGTGCGTTCTCGACAGGACGAACTCTGTGCTGTCGCCACCATCCCCAAACCACGGCTGCGAGTGATATAACAGCAGAGAGGTGTTCAAAATAACGCCTAAAGGTTTTCTTTCAAGAAGATAAGAAGAACGTTCACTTGGAAAATGTTACCTGGAATTCTAGGAGTCTTCCACGTCGCCCTGTTAAGTCTGGTATGCGGTGCCGCATCGGAGAGAAAGGGTGAGTACACTGACTTCGCTTTAGAAGTTTGAGCGCGAGCACAGCGATGAAGCGGTTATGTTCGCTTATTTGTTCACGTTTACGTACATGTCGGTAGACAAAAGTAATCGTTTGCAGTTAAAAACGCTCAGCTGCGTGTATACAGGGCGAAAATACGTACGTTTTTATTGACTAGTAGAAACAGCAGACATTAAGAATGAACGTTAATGCTGAGCTACACGATACATCGTTCCATTTGATAGAGGTCACACATTTATTGTTCATATAGAACGTAAAACTATAAGCTTGTATGTTTTGAACTACAAGGAATGGAGAAGGGGATGGCAGTAAGAGATTACTGACGACAGAGCTTGAATCAGATGGTGCTCTGTCAGATAAGATCTCTGAAGTATGAAAAGTTTAGGCTATGTGGTATTTGTAACACTTATGAGCATGGGAAGAGGCTAATTTCTCAGGTGAACTGTCATTTAAAGTTAAAATATATATATATATATATATATATATATATATATATATATATATATATTTTTATTTTTTTTACTTGGCAAAAGAACAAGAGTTTACAAACACATTAAATTCCAAGAAGTGACATTGCTAGAATTAACCAACAATCTAAGCTAAACTAAAAAACTAAACTAAACTAAAAAAAGATGTTCTTTGTGTGATACCGTGGAAGAACCATTTGTGTATCCTAAAGAACCTAGTGTAAAGGTTCTTCAGTGGCATAAAACAAAACATGTATGTGCTGTCAGTGGCAAGAAACGCCACCAATTTCTCTGGGCTCGAGCTCATTTGAAGTGGACTGAAATGCACATTGGAAAATGTGTATTGTGGTCTGATATGTCATCCTTTCAGATTATTTATGGAAATAAATGGACATTGTGTTCTCCATGCCAAAGAAAAAAAGGACTATTAAGATTGTTACCAGTGTAAAAAGTCAAAAAAGGTTTGTCATGGTATGAGGGTGTATTAGTGCCCATGGCAGAGGTACCTTGCACATCTGTGAAGGTACCTTTATTGCTGAAAGATACATACAGATTTTGGAGCAAATTATGCTGCCTTCTAGAAGCTTTTTTTCTGTTTTTGGGAGGGGACGTCTATGCTTATTTCAACATAACAATATGAAGGCACGTTCTGCACATGTTACAATAGCATGACTGTGTAATCAGAGTGTGGGTGCTAGACTGGCTTGCCTGCAGTCCAGACCTGTCTTCAATTGACGTTTCATGATGTGTGGCACATCATGAAGGGAAAGAAAGCGAAGGCCAGCATTTCCGCAGATAAAGAATTGTATAAGAGAACAATGGCAAAAAAAAAACTACTGTGAAAACAGGATCAATTGTTGTTTTCAGTGCCTAAATTAATATTAAAGGAAAGTGTTGTTAAAAGGAAAGGTGATGTAAGGTAAACATACTCCTGTCCCAACTTGATGCAATTTCCCAGACTCAGATTAAAATGATGCCTAGACTAAGCAAAATTTTCACTGCTGATTTCACCTTTCTCACTGCAGTTTAGTCAAAGACTAGGCTTAATCCATGTCCAGGAAACTGGCCCTGTGTGTCTAGCATACTCCTCTGTGAATTTGCAACTGTGCCAGCATTTCATCATTATTCAGGATCAGCACTGAGACATGTACAGTCAAGCCTTGACTCTGATTGTCTCTTGATATTTTGACAATAAGCAACATGCCATATATATTCACAGAGCAACCATTACAGAGAATTTCTGAGGGTTTATTCAATCTATTTACATCTATTCAGTATCCATGCCCAGAAAAGATTTTTGGGAGGGTTCAGGGAGCAAATAGGAAAAAAAAAAATCTAAATATGAAAAGATCTAAATGAGTGTAATAGTGCAATTACTGTAATTAGTGTAATAATGGTTTGAATTTTAGACACTGATACTGAGTGATAAAGGCAAATATCTACCACTGGCATTCAGGGTTAAATTCTAGTAATCTAAGACTGCTGGCACTTGCAAAGGATAGCAGTATAGGTACGAGTAAAAGTAGATGGTCAAGAGAATGGCCTATAACATCATATAATATAGCATACTATAGTAATATAGTGTAGTATTATAATACAATATATAAAATATAACTTGCTTTCAAAGACTTCTGTTCAACTGAATAAAAACCCCTGTAACCAATATGTAGCCTACATTTGTCTTAAAGCCAAGTTTCAATGTAGTTCAGAAGTTCAGCAATTAGCCTACCTTCTTCCTGAAGCCAAGCTTTTTTGGCAACTCCAAAAACATGTTACCAGTTTGTCATCTTTTTTGAGGGGGCTTGACTGGTAAACAAATTTTTTTCCTTGATTTTTATTATGTTTTTTATGAACATGAGTGATTAAGTAGTGGTGTGGAGGATACCATCCCGCTACCATCACATTCTAGCTTGTTATGCTAATTGGCAAACCAGCATGGTTGCTTAACAACAGAAACAATGAAACCGAAACCAGCTATACCACTTTCAAAATGTACAAAACACATGTATGCTATGCACCATCAAAGCTGGTTTACATACACAGGATGTTCATCAAAACTACCTGATTTTTCATTGCCTCTTCAGTGTACTATCCTCAGAAAATCACTCAGCATGGCCTGAAGAAATCACTGTAATCCTGTCACAGACTAGGCAGGGCACGCGTTCCCAAAGGCAACATAGTGTTAAGATCATCTTAACTGGTAGCAAGAGTGCCTAGTGTGATGCTCAGTTTACCATTTAAGAATCGTCTTTGTGCTTTCTTTTATGCTTTTGGGAAATCTTTCATGCTTTTGGGAAACCCAGCCCTGGCTATCATGGACAGGGCGGGTGCATCTAGTAGATCCCTGCTCAGAGTATGCTTCATTTATATCAGTTAAAGTGGAGTGTCTTTTGCTTTTACTCCTTGAATGCTCAAGTACGTATATGTATAATTTTACATCATATTTTTTTCAATACAGTTCTTCAGAGATTGTATCAGTCAGGATGTTGCCAATTCCGCCAGCTATGTAGGGCTCAAGCAGAGCTGTGGGGCAACGGAAGGTCAGGAGAGAGCTAACAGCACAATTTGGGCATCTCTTGCTATCTTGTGTTGAGTGCCAGATTAATCACCTGTGGTCTGGAGTGCCAGTCTTTGCCAGAGAAAGAAAAACAAATTTATGGAAGTTACCAAAACCAGCAATTTGTAGCTAATAAACAGTTTTTACCTTTTAGGTTATTTGGCCAGACACTTTATAAGGCTTCTCTTTCACCAGATCGTGGATATCTAGCACAATATCCGCTGCAGATTCAGCCCTCAGTACAGCACAGAGTTGGTCATTAGTAAGCATTAATCTGTGTTTCGGTTTGTTCAGTTTAATTTTTGTGAACAACTGCTTATACGTGTAGGCTGCTCCCAAATGGGCTCAGCACTTTGCTAAACACTGTGGCTAGCTTAGGAAATTCATTAGCAGGAAAGTGTCATTAGAATTCCTAAAGGGGAGGTTCAGAGAATTTGTTCTTCAGTTCACGGTTTCTCTACAGGTCTCCCTTTATCTCCCTTTGAAGATCTGTCACATCCACATTGAAGGGGGTGGAAAACAGAGACGTGTTTGTGTGATGCAAATTCTTTAGTTAGCTCTGACAGATTTATGCTAGAGTGCATTTAGCCTAGTGTTTGTTGTGAAATGCAGTCGGGTGTATATATATATATATATATCCACTGCAAATTTACACACATGATGTCTTTTAATTTTGTACTTGTAAATATGAACAAAAAAGAATATATTTATAAGCATTAAAAAAAAGATGAAAAAAAATGAAATTAATAGGGAAAAAAGCATTCTAATGCCACAAATCAATAACAATAATACTTGCAAAGCCACTGTTGGCAATTACAGTTTTGAGATATCTAGATCTAATTAGCTTTTTGCAGCATTGTGGTTCATTTTTGGCCCATTTCTCTTGGTAAATCGTCTTCAATTCCCCAAGGTTATGAGGGTCCCTCTGTTGGACATTTCAAGAGATTGCCTAGCCCATGCAAGCCTCTTCATCTTTTTTAGAAATCAGTCTTGGGTTACTTTGCTTATATTTTTGTGGTCCTTGTCTGGTTGGAACGTCCATCTTCTCCTCTTTGTGGGCTGATGAGATTAAATTGTCCCCTAATATGTCCTGGTACGTCATCCATTCATTCATCCATCAATTAATTCTACTTGCTTTACAGTGTGTGGGCCAGATCTGGAACGAGGACCCAGCTGTATAGCGGGCCTGAACAAACCCAAGGATGTTGCACACAAATGGGCCAGACAAATTTTGCTAACTCAGGAGGTTGGTAATTCAGGTCCAGAAAATCAAAATAATTTTTTTGGGATTTTGTTCCAACTACCCGGACACTTCTACTGCTGATTTGAGCAAACTAGAGAAGCGAGCAGTTGGAACACAATCCTGGGGTGGATTTTGACGTTCTCCACCATAAGTACCCACCTCTAAGAAGCAGCCCCAAATTATGATGCTCCCACCTCTGTACTTCACAGTGGGTATGGTGTTCTTGGGATTGTTTGCTCAACCCTTCTTTCTCCAGACACGATGAGCTGAATTACTGAATTACTTATTTTTGTTTTGGCTGAACAGAGTACACCATTCCAAAAGAGTTCTAATTTGTCGAAATGTTCATGTGCAATTTTTTTAGTTGAGGAGTTTTAAAAATGTGATAAATACATCTTTTGTTAGTTTCCCCTAAAGCCTCATAAATCATGTAAAAAATAGCTTCTTAATCACGAAATACAGAAATGCTGAAATAGTTGTATGCTATTAAACCTGAGCCTACATTGTAACTAGACAGCAAGCAAGCAATGCTTTTGCAAATTCAGTATGACGGCATATTTAAATGAATTTCACATTTTGGTGTGTTTTTATACTGTTTATATTTCTTTATATTTATTTATTTGTATAGACTTTGACAAATTCCTGCCTCATGTGGCAAATATGGCCTAAGATTTTAGTAAACATACCTGCCTATAATGAGTCATTTCTTTCTCTG